CGTTCAATTTCACTTTTTCAATGTTCTCTTTCATTTTCTTCTTGTTCTCTTTATTTCATGTTATCTTCTTCTCTTGCCTGCTTTATTTCATGTCCTTTTTCTCCTCATGTTTTACCAATGTTCTCTTTTCCTCATGTTCTCTTTTTCTTATGTTCTCTTTTTCTCATGCTCTCTTTTCCTCATGTTCTCTTTTCCTCATGTTCTCTTTTTCTTATGTTCTCTTTTCCTCATGCTCTCTTTTCCTCATGTTCTCTTTTCCTCATGTTCTCTTTTCCTCATGTTCTCTTTTCCTCATGTTCTTTTTTTCTCATGTTCTCTTTTCCTCGTGTTCTCTTTTTCTCGTGTTTTCTTTTCCTCGTGTTCTCTTTTCCTCGTGTTTTCTTTTCCTCATGTTCTCTTATCCTCGTGTCCTGTTTAAATCATGTTCTTTTTTCCTCATGTTCTCTTTTCCTCATGTTTTCTTTTCCTCATGTTTTCTTTTTCTCATGTTCTCTTTTCCTCGTGTTCTCTTTTCCTCATATTCTCTTTTCCTCGTGTTCTCTTTTTCTCGTGTTCTCTGTTTTCGTGTTTTCGTTTGCTTTAAATATTTAGGTATGCATCATTTTCACTCATTTTAATTTATTTTAGATTATTTTTATCGCATATTTTCAAATGTTACCTAGTCAGTTCTAAGAATTTCTCTTTCCCTCTTTACATATTTGTTCCCTCATGCGCCTTCTAAATATTTTATAGGTTTTCTTCTGATTTCTGGTTTTCTCAACTTCTTTTCCGCTCTACATTCATTAGTCATAAAATTTCGTGAAATTCTCATATTTAAATTCTATCCTCTTCTTTTCATATTCTTGTATTCTTATCGTTAAATTCTATCCTTTTCTTTTCATATTCTTGTATTCTTATCTTTAAGTTCTATCCTCTTCTTCTCATATTCTTGTATTATTATCTTTAAATTCTATCCTCTTCTCCTCATATTCTTGTATTCTTATCTTTAAATTTTATCCTCTTCTTCTCATATTCTTGTATTCTTATCTTTAAATTCTATGCTCTTCTTCTCATATTCTTGTATTCTTAACTTTAAATTCTATGCTCTTCTCCTCATATTCTTGTATTCTTATCTTTAAATTCTATTCTCTTCTTCTCATATTCTTGTATTCTTATCTTTAAATTCTATCCTCTTCTATATACATACCTTGCTAGTCTGTTTGTTTGGTTGTTTGTCTGTTTGAATCCAAGAAACGTCAAAACAGCAGAACCAATCGGACCCAGACTTTGTGTGGGACCTCACATGACCCCATGAAAGGTTTATAGATGCTCAAATTACAAAAATTTGATTTGATTTGGGTAAAAGTTTGAAAATGTACGAAAAAATATTATCAAACCTATGATTTTTTGGGCTATTTTTTATATTGTTACAAAGAGAAGATGTTCAAAGATAAAAGCTCGCTAAAAGCCTATGTCTTCTTATTTTCTTGTATTTCTATTTCTTATTTTTAATTCTATCCTGTTCTTATCTTTGCATCTATTCGATAAAAGAAAAGGAGAAGAGATATAATACAATAAGAATAATATCAAACATAAAGCATGAAGAGATGGGGCAGTAGAATTTTATATAATGGGATTTCTACAGTAATGAGAGAAACCTTTTAAGTTTAACAATAGCTCGAGATTGCTGGTGTGGGAGATATAGATTATAACTAGAATAGATTCCATCCTATTCCATCATATTCCATCCTTTTCCATCCTATTCCATCCTATTCCCTCCTATTCCATCCTTTTTCATCCTTTTCCATCCTATTCCATCCATTTCCATCCTTTTCCATCCTATTCCATCCTATTCCATCCTATTCCATCCTATTCCATCCTATTCCATCCTATTCCATCCTATTCCATCCTATTCCATCCTATTCCATCCTTTTCCATCCTAAAGTTATGATATTTTGGTTTCTAAAGACTACAATAAGTTCAATAGCGAGTGTAGTCCTTGCATCTAGAAATAATTGAACGTGAGATTAAAGATTTTGTTAAAATTCATTGAATCGAATTAAAAAAGAATCTAATTTTCAACAATCTCTATGGTATAATAAGATAGCGTAAAAGTAACTATGTGGACAATTGGTTTCAGGTTTTCTATGGGGGAGGAGGGTAAGTGTAAAAAGAAAACCTGGTTAAGTTCAAAGACCACTCAAATAACATTTCCTTTAGATGTTCCGCAGGGGAACAGTGCCAGCAGTTCCACCAGATTTTATTATTTTATTTTCGCTTCTCACACTTTCATGAGGATCAAAGAAGGAGTCGGGAAGGTATTTTAGAAACAATCAGAAATTCAGGATGCTTTGCGATTTTACTAAAACGTTAACTTTTAGTTTTATTTTTCTTTTCGTAAATTGAAATAAATATGAAAAATCAATTAAAAAAGGGGATTATTTTTGTTCTATATCTAATTCAAAAAGTTGTTAGTCAAAATCAGTTCAATTAAAAAAACTTTAAAATCCGGAGTTTTCAATTTAGTTTATTTGTTTGGACAATTGGAAACATTTCTTAATGCTTAGATTTTATTTTAACAGATCCACAAGTATAAGATATAACATATATCTTTATATATAAATAGTAACAAACAAGAGTTCAGTTTGCTGACTTTAGGTATTTTTATTTTAAGCAGAAAGTGTATAAACCAGATGAGAACTTTAACACGGTTTCAAAGAAAAAGGTTTAATGCCTTTCATCCACTGTAAACTTAAATTAATCCAATCTGAGGCAGCTGCAGCAACTCACGCTTTATGTATTTTACCATAAAATAGTTTTTATTTTGGTAACATCTCATGTTGATTGACATCTACACAAGAGATCCTGGTTTCTGTCTATCTACAGAATTGTGCTCAGCAAATCCTGGAATTCGATTAAATTCTAAACTTTAAAGGGATTCCAAACCAAACCTGATTTAAATCAATTTTGTAATAGAAACTTAAACTAGTGATAGTTATAAAGCACTTTTTTAGATGATTTTATCTTTTTTATCTTCGGTTTTCGAATTCAAACTAATAGAACCCTAGCTCCAGGATTCATTAAACACAGCAACAGGATTCAATTTACCCAGCTCTAGGATACAATGAACCCAGCTCCAGGATCCAATGAGCACAGCTCCAGGATTCATTAATCACAGCTTCAGAATTCAATTGACCCAGCTCTAGGATTCAATGAACCCAGCTCTTAGATACAATGAACTCAGCTCCAGGATACAATGAACCCAGCTCCAGGATTCAATTGACCCAGCTCCAGGATTATATTAACACAGCTCCAGGATTCGATAAACCCAGCTCCAGAATTCAATTAACTCAGCTCCAGGATTCAATTAACCTAGCTCCAGGATTCATTACATCCTGCTCCAAGAGTCACTAAACCCAGCTCCAGGATTCACTGAACCCAGCTCCAGGATTCATTGAACCCAGCTCCAGGATTCATTGAACCCAGCTCCAGGATACAACGTATACAACTCCAGGGTTAAATATACTCTAACCGTTCTCCGCGTAGAATACATTTGAACCCAGATCCATGGAGACACCAAACCTGTCTCTCAAATTCAATCTCTTCTGTAAACATAAGATCAATTTGAAAGCTTTGTGAAGAAATAAAACATCTATTGTTCGCGTTTTCTAACCTTTTATCTAAAGAAATCTTTTCAGCTGAGGAGAAAAATGATTTTGTTTAATAATAAATATTCAAAATTGGCTCTGGCTGACAAAATGCAGTTTTCCAACTTGACAAGTTATATTCTTTAAACCTTTTCTGAAAAAGTTCTCGTCAATCATTTTGTATTTAACTCGGTAAAAGGTTCTGCATCAAAGTTCAATCATAATCAACACGAAATCTTTAGCGCCAAATAAAATTATCCGGGGGAGGGGGGATGATTTTTAACGACAGTATTAAACGCAAAAGGCATGATCTGCATCTGTCTTTAATTTTCCTTTAAAAGAAAAAACAAAGACAAAAACTGTTCAGCTTAAAGGGACAGACTGGCTATGTAAGGTAGTTAAACTGAGTATGCAGTGATGTTGTGGACAAATTTTTTAGGATTCGTTAGAGACATATAATACGTTTCCACGATGTATAATTACTGAGTTTGAGCGCCAAGTCGACATTAATTTGGGTGGGTACGTTTTCAGAATCGGGTTTTTTTTTAAATTGATAAATACCGACGACGAAAAATGTAGTAAAAATTCTATAATAAGCTAATTAGATGTTTAGGAACATATTTCTCAAAATAAATTTGTCAATAAATCGAAGTTTGAATTAATAATTTCCTTTTCCATCATAATATTGAATTTCTTATTTTCTAAGAATTTGTTCGCAGATTTTTTAAATTCTTCAAATGTCGTCGTCTTCTTTTTAACTAAAATTCCAGAAAATCTGCAGAATATCTTTGTGATTAAAGAAAGATTTCAGAAAATAATAATTGAATAAGATTACTTATCTCAACCTGTTCCTAAACAACTAATTAGTTTACTGTTTACATTTTTTGTTGTCGTTATTCAATAATTTAAAACAAAAAACAATTCTGAAAACGTATCCAGTATCCACACAAAAGTACGATTTTGAACGTGGAATTTGAGCTCAAACTCAGGATTTACAAATTTTTAAAAAGTTTTATAAGAATTTTAAACGAATTTGTCCACAACACTGCATACTCAGTTTAACTACCTTACATAGACCGTACCTTTTATTTTACACATTCTCAATTTTCCACAGCAGATTATACAATTCTAAAAATTATGCACAAGTTAGCAAGACTGGTTATATTTTGAAGTGTCGCTAGGCTTTTAACATTAACTTAACCTCACCTTAAGACATTAGTTCTATTTAGCATATTTTTAGCCTTCGGGTTTGAAGATGTATTTGGTAAAAACCCTAATCGATTTTCGCGCCAAAATGTGAATATTTTAGTTTAGTGTTAAACTATGTGGAGCTCAATCATCAACGTAATAAAACGTTCGAATTGGTAGTTTGTATACAGATATTAGTTTAATATATTTCAAACAGAAATCAAACTAAAATTTCAAACTTATAAATTTTCTGCATTTAGAACGATGCAATATATCAGCAGGGGTTAGTTACATTGTTTTTATGTTTGTTACTGCACTCACAAAAATAATTACGGACAGCTCTTAAATACAATGTATCAGCAGGGGTTAGTTACATTGTTTTAATGTTCGTTAATGCACTCACAAATATAATTACGGTACAGCTCTTAAGTACAATATATCAGCAGGGGTTAGTTACATTGTTTTTATGTTTGTTACTGCACTCACAAATATAATTACGGTACAGCTCTTAAGTACAATATATCAGCAGGGGTTAGTTACATTGTTTTTATGTTTGTTAATGCACTCATAAATATAATTACGGTACAGCTCTTAAATACAATACATCAGCAGGGGTTAGTTACATTGTTTTTATGTTTGTTACTGCACTCACAAATATAATTACGGTACAGCTTTTAAGTACAATATATCAGCAGGGGTTAGTTGTGTAATCCTATTTATTAGAGTCCTAAGATAGGTATTCCTCAATTAGAATTTTAGGCAAGTAATCAGTTCCTTTGGTGAGATACATTCAGAAACAATTGATGAAAATTTTGAATTCATTACATATGTAGCATGTCGGCATGCATAGTGTGATATCTCTAGAGGATATTAGTTTCTTATTAAGGCTTTGTTTCCGTTTTTTCTTCATAATTCTTGGTGAATGTATGCAGGTCAACCTAGGTATATAAACATTTAAATATTCAACAGTAAATTTATCATTTAATGGGACTTTACACGTTATTTGAAGTGCCCCTCTATTAAAAAAGTGGCATGTCCGATTCACATTTGTATCCTTGAAAGCTTTGTATGCTCAAGAATATACCAATGCCATCTTTAAACAAAGAACCACGGGAAATTACGACAGCTGTCCCTTTAAAAAGATGTAAATAAATTTTCATTTGTAGAAAATACCTTTTCTGGTTCCTGGCGTTTATTTTTCTTGATAGGATCTGTTAGAACTAAAGGTATTGCACCCAACATCACCTTTATACAGATATAGTTGGTAAATTAGCAATGTATGCCTCCTTTTCAAAAGAAAAAGTTTTTTGACCCTAATTCAAACAAGTTTTAAAATATAAACAAAATTAACGGTATTCCTCCTTCTAACCTTTATCAACAATCAACACTTAGATCTTTAATTGGTTGAATGAGTTTTGTTTTTAATTTTTTTGAATACTTCTGTTAATTTTCTAAATTATAATTTTTTGCTGGGCCAGAATGATTAGATATTTTAGATAAACTAGTTTCTGATTATATGAGATAGGATTTTTGGCCTGTGTTTGGTCCCGAAAAACTTTAAACATCGGCAGTTGTTAAAAGTTGTACTTTTGTTTGTTTTCAGAATATTTTCTCAAACTTAGTTTATCAAACACTTTAATCAAACAAGATATAATTAACTGTGCTTAAAGGATGTGTTTGCTTAAAGGGTGTGTCAAAATATTTAGTTTTTTTTATGAAAAATGTGTACAAATCTCAAAAATGCACAGTGCCGTGCACAGTTTAGCAAATGGATAAATATATATTAATATTTAGCATGTTTAACATTTCTCAAGTCATTCAATTGAATTCTATACATTTATACTCGTTCATATTTTTAATTTACCCTAAATTCGGAGTAACTTATTTTCCAATCTTCATTTCTGTCAACTGTAGCAATCATCTCATCTATCTCCTATCGGGCAAAATTCATTATATTTTCATAATTTTATCATAATATAATAATTTTTTCATAATTTAAATTTTTTTTCATAATTTCATAATTCTTTCATAATTTCATAATTTTTTCATAAATTCTCTTCTTCTCATATTCTTGTATTTTTTTTATGATTTTATAATCTTTTCATAATTTTATATTTTTTTCATTATTTCATAATTTTTTTATAATTTCATAATTTTTTTCATAATTTCATAATTTTTTCATAATTTCATAATTTTTTCATAGTTTCATAGTTTTTTTCATAATTTAATAATTAAAGTTTTACAAATCTGTCGCAGTATCAGATTTGTCTCGCGCTTACAGTGACTGTATGTAGCATTTTCTGCTGTAATGTCTAGTACGATCCTTATTATCTATGTTAGTAATATATCTTATCTATTTAAATGTTGACCCTGACTGGCCATTACGGTCAGTTTGATTTTAACTGTATATAAAATAAAGTAGTACTACATGAAACTTCGTATTATTCGGACGAATATAGAGCCTTGAGTTTTGGCTAGAATTGAGAGCCTTGAGTTTTGGCTAGAGATAGAGACTGTAATTAGACTTTGAGTAGCGTAATCTCAGGACCTAGATTTATTACATGTATTTGTAATTGGAGTGCCCTTTCATTTAAAAGAGAGGAATACCCGAATCACAAAGGTACTCTATATCTGATCTTTGATGCTGACGATATTGTCGTTTTTTTTAAATTAAAAATTAAAAACATGGATATCTCCTTCATTTTTGATCATACAAAGCTATAAAAGTTATCGTTGTGCATGAAATATGCCATTCTATATATTCTCTATATGTAGGGTCACTTGAAATTACGCCTACGGTCTCTATAATAAAAATAATATCGCACATGTACAATTCTACGTTGATGAAATACAATATTTATTTTATTTGAATAATGCTTTTCCCTTGTACGTTATTTTTCCTGGAAGATGCATCAAAACAAACCTATAATAAACAGAATGTAATAATCAATCATGTTTACAATGAACATATACACTTATGTACAGTGTACACAGAAACATATGTGGAATGTACATAAAATTTATGTACGGTTTTCACAGTAACATGTGTACGATACACATATAAGCATTACAGTCTGCAATGTACATAAAATATATGTACAGTTTGCACAGAAACATTTGTACGATACACATATAAACATTACAGTGTACACAATTACATATGTGGAATGTACATAAAATATATGTACAGTTTACACAGAAACATGTGTACGATACAAATATAAACATTACAGTGTACACAGAAACATATCTGCCATGTACATAAAATATATGTACAGTTTACACAGAAACACTGTACGATGCACATAAAAACATTACAGTGTACACAGAATTGTTAGAGAAGTGTACACACAAACTTATATTAAGCGTACATATAAACATATGTGTATGCTGTACAGTGTACATAAAAACATATGTACACTTAAAACAGAAACATATAAACAGTTTCATGTCAATTGCACAGTATAAAGACTTTTCAATTTGGCATTTATTCAGGTTTGTTAATGCAACTAATAAATCTAAACTTTGATTATTTCAAAACAAGAAAAGAGTGCGTTAACATTCATTAATGTTTTTATTACCCCTGATGATTTTGCAAGATTTTTAATTACAGTTTTATAACTTAGATAATTTTTAAACAAGAAAACAGTGTCACTTGCTTCAAATATCGGTAATTAGATTAGGATGATAATATTATTGTTTTTTTTATCATTAATTTTTGTATATTTGAGTATATTTGACTCTTCAACAAGCATGAAAGGAACAAAATCAAATATTTAAACCTCAATATCTTTAGAACTCGATTTTGTAAACCTTTGATATTTCAAACTCAGATTATTTGATCTAACAGAATTTATAGTTTGAAAAATCTAAGGTCTGCAACATTTGGTTCCAAAGATATAGTGATTAGAAAATCAGAATTTGTGGCAAAGACTCAATTCCTATACGAAGATTTCCTCCATTCGAACAAAAACGACAAAAGTGGTGGTCATCAAAAAAATATTTTTAATTTATGGGTCTCGCCCTCCTACAAAAAGCTATTAAACAAAATCTATAAAAAAAATCGTTAAAAATAATAGTACAAAGTGAAACATTCTATGATACATTCTGAAAAAAGATCACGAGCTGGTCAAAGCAATATTTTGTTCTATTTCTATCCCAGCTGCTAGCAAATCCATATAATTTGCAGGAAACAAAACTTATCTCAATTATCTATGGTTTTAGGACCTAAAACTAAAAAAAGGATTGTGGCGATCAATCTTTATTTTACGTCATTGATTCTCAAATAAAGAAAACACATGAATGTTTTGTAAGCGGGTGACCCCAATAAACGTTAAATTTTCCTTTAAGAATTTAGATGTTTTTCCTTGATGAATCCTTGTTCATAAATATAATATAATGGTTGGTTGACGTGTTAGACTTGTGATTTATAGACAAGACAACATGAAAGCCCTTTCATCCTTTACTACCTCTAAAGATAATATATTAAGTATAATATAACCGTAGTTGATGGATAGCTTATATAAACACTTTTCTCAGACCTGGCTTAGAGGTCAGGGCCTTTTAATATAAACGGGAGTTCTTTTGTTTCTTTAAATACACCTTTTCGTACCGACGCGCGAGGCAAAAATGCATGTTGGTGTCCATTTTTGGCTTTGTACTGTCACTTTTAAAACAGCCATTTTTCGACATATCTAAAATCTGTTCTCGACTAAAAAATAGTTTTTGATTTTACATATTCCTGAATTATGAAATTATGATCATATAATTGAGGATTTTATGTCTTGTCTGTTACTTTTTGTTCAGGAATATTCAGTGCGAAGGGGTTTATAAAATTTATGGGACATCACTGGAAGGACTTTGTGACCTCGTAGCTCCTCTAATTTTGAAATTCCGCAAAAGTATGAGTAAAGCAACTATGTTTGGAAACGTATTAAAAATTCTTCTCATTAGCTCTTGAATCAGAGGAGTTATTAGTGTAAACATAAAAAAATCAATACTCATTGCATTTTATTTTAGTTGAACGTTCTTATAAATATCACTGTACACAAAGACGATAAAAACACAATCAGAAATATATTTTCTGTCATTAAAATATTTGGTTTTCCGACATTCAATCTTGTAATTTGGTAATTTTATGTTTATGTGTTTATGTTTATGATATCTAATCCTAAAATCCAAATCAAATGTTATTTCGTTTAAGAGCATGTTTTCAAAATTCATAAGATCATCCAAGGTATATAAAGGAAAGGATGCATTTTATTTACTTTTATAGTGAATATACCATTGTTTATAAGCTATATGAGAAAAAGAGTTTTTGTCATGTCTTCAAAATATCATTTTTAACAATGCTCCCAATACTTCCAAACTGTGAGTATAAAATAAACCAAAAGAGTCATTATAAAACCTTGTTCGAGCACAAGCATTGGTAATGAATATAAATAGTTAATATGGACGGAATGTGATATGTATCTTCTCATGTTTAAATATTTTGATTCAATATTCTTAAATATTCTTACTTAATTTCTTCAGCTGGGATACATCCTTCCTCATCCTTACTGAACACACGGAAACATTCCTGCATTCATTATTCATTCATTCATTTATTCATTCATTCATTCTTTCATTCATCCACCTATTCATCCTTTCATTCATTCATTTATTCATCCTTGCATTCAGCATTCATTCCTGCATTCATCATTCATTCCTGCACTTATCATTCATTATTCATCCATCCTTCATTCATCTAATTATGTTCCATTCATTAATGATTCATCCATTCATAGTTTATTTATTTATAATGCATTCTTCTGTCATGATTAATTTTTTTAATGATTTATCTTGTTCATCCATTTTAACTTTCTCAGCAAGATTTCCAAATTAAACAGATGTAAAAATTAACAAATTATTCCCATCTTAATCTATCCTTGACTCAATTTATAAATATAAACGACCTTGTATCCTACTTCCAGATCCATATCTCGAGCCCTGTCAGTCAGTATCTTACAGAAGATCTGAAATAAAATTATTCTAAAAAGGTTTTGCGAAAGATATAGGAAGAAAGAAGTTGTTCAACTTCATCTGTTTTATCGTCAAGATCTAAACTTCTTTAAAACTTTGACCCCACAATTTTTATTGAGAGGGGGGAGGGGGTTCTTTCCATAGAGAATAGAATATATAGAGAGGAATTAACTAGAAAAAAGTGGAAACGGCCATTTTGTTGTACTGTTTCCATACTGCAGGTGTACTTCACATATTTATGCTATATAACCTGTTGGGCCCTGGAATATCATTATATAGAAAATCTAAAATTATTGTTAAAAGAAAACCAAATTATGAAATAGGCTGGTTTCATAATTGACCAATGATCATTTCACATAGACTCTATGCCTTCCACTTTACAAACGATGATTTTCCGTTATAACTATAAATCAAATGATGTTTTTATTCACCTAATTCATGATAAAGTTGATCTAACAGTTTAAAAAATTCGAAATTAAAATGGATAGTCTAGGGAATATACTGTATTAATGTACTCTACTTCATATAATTTGTGAACATTTACATGATTTGTACACTTTGAACTCCCTTTCAGGCTGAAAGGGACTGAAAAAATTCATACCGAGAGATTTTTTAATTCCTCTCTATATATTCTATTCTCTATGGTTCTTTCTCAATCAATCTGTAACACAGAAATAATCCATATTTGAATCTAAGCATACAAGACAATAAAGTTGGATTAAAACCACTGTAGAGAATATTGTTTATTGGAAGTTGACAATAATTAATAATTTGAATCTACGGGTATAAGTTTGGTTTGTTATACATACACAATACACATGCACACATGAAGGTAAAGTTAAATTATATATTTCAGTTTTATCTTATATGTGCAGATAGGGGGCAGATTGTACAGTGTATAAAGTGTGTAGAGTATAGAGTACAGAGAATAGAGTATAGAGTAGATAAGATAAGATAAGATATAGTTTATTTCTAAAATACTCATACAAGTTATAATGTCACAGGCAAAAAAATCTGCTACTATTTTTATATTGTTTACTATATTTATGTGATTATAGCAATTAGTTGGAGATAAGCTATTTGCTGTTTTGGGTATTATCCCCACCTAATTATAGTATAATTATAGTATGATTATAGTATAAAGTATAAAGTATAGAGTAAAGAGTATAGAGTATATAGTATAGAGTAAAGAGTAAGTATGGAGTATAGAGTAAAGAGTATAGAGTGTATAGAGCATAGAGTATAGAGTATAGAGTATGGAGTATAGAGTAAAGAGTAAGTATGGAGTATAGAGTAAAGAGTATAGAGTGTATAGAGTATAGAGTATATAGTATAGAGTGTAGAGTATAAAGTGTAGAGGGAATGAGAGGGTATAGAATATTATAAAGCTGAGTTGAAGAATGTATTGTTTACACTATACAATGTATAAATAGTATGTAAATTGTATAATTATATAAAGACTATTGTGTATATATATTTGATCAATGTATCATGAATACCTGAAACTCTAAGTACCCGGATCCATCATGGATATTATTGATCAGATCTGACACCTAAGATGAAAATATGAAAATAATTTATTTTAGAGACAAAAATGGGATTTATAATAAACTAGCATAAAGACAAGATGAAAATAAGTTTAAAGTTTTATCCTAAACATGTTTAAAAGATTTGGCTGGTTTCCAAACTTGTTGCAAAGAAGAGATAAGATTCAGGTTTGAAACCAGTAGAAATTCAAGATGTTAGATGTTAGACATAAAACCCGTGAGATACAAGATACAGGATAGAAATACAAGATGTTAGGTGTAAAAAACACATTTGAAAAAGACCTAAAAACAAAACAAAAATAAACAGAGGTAGAATATAATGAATTTGACCCGCCATGCTGAACTGCAAATAACCGGTTCGAATTGCAGCTCAAATCTCGAAACACTGATTAAAATTTCAAGCTGGATCAACCATCTACACGCAGTTTAAATTCTTAAAATTCGACCGCAGGTGACATTAAGTTCGACTTTGAACTGTTGTGCCCATGTTTTATCTATAAAGGAATTGAGTTTTTGCCACAAACTTGAATTTTCTAAAATCTATATCGTTGCAACCTGATGGTGTAAACCTTTGATACTTCAAATTCGGATTATCTTATCTATCAAATATGAAGTTTGAATTATCTTAGGTTTCAAAGAAAAAGGGATGAGGAAATTAGAGTTTGTTGCAAGGACTCAATTCCTTTGGCACGTTTCAGTGTCTAGTTTCTTTTCAAATCCAATATACATCCAAAGAGCTGAACCGTCCAAATAGTTTAAAAAACCAGGAATGAAAACAGAAAACTCTGAGAAATCTTAAATAAAAAATACGTTGGTAGGCGATTATATCAATACAGTGAAGACGAATTTCGTTTTCAATTTTGATTAATATCAAGCTTTTAAACAGCATGGATACAAAAAGACATGGAAACTAAGAGAAGCTGCCATTTAAAAATTTTCTCTTAATATACTTGTAAACTTGTAATTCGAAAAAAGCGTGTTAACAATTTAAACTTAAATAAAAAGTCGTCTTCATTATATTAACATAATCTTCTACCACCCTCTACGAATAGACGAATATATTTTTTTACCAAAAAGAGATGAGCCAATCCCATTGAAAACCTTAGTATGTATACATCTATAGATATAAAGCAGTAATATCTGTTTTGGCGTAAAACCACAGGAATATTGTGTTTATTAAATTTCCAATAATGTTTTTGCCTTTTCTCCAGATTCCAATTCATCAAATAAAACTAAAATCGAATGAAACTCCCAAAATATTGTACACTGCTTAAGTTTAGTTAAACACAGATTCGATGTCGTCTTCGTTTGTTCTTCTGTTTACTTTGTTTTCTGTAACTGATTCATCTAGTAAGAAAGTGTTCTTTATAAATTGGCGGAATTTTTTTATTAAAAGAAAGAACGAAGACGAAAATTGTTTCTTTTTGTATTTTAATAAAGATTCTATTTACAATTTGACCTATTACTTCCTTAACCGTGGTTTAAGTATGATATATATTTACCTGATATACATATATGGTAATAGATCACCGGGTAAATGTAGCGTGAATATTGAGAATATATTTCATATATACAATATACATATATTTATATTACAATATGAATATATGTCATTTTATGACCATACGACATAAATATAACTGTTATCTAAACCAAAAATTGTTTTATTTTTATTTTTTATTTTCCTTTTCTGAGGCTTGATGTTTACTGAGTAATTTTATACGAAACATATTGTTTATATAAAGGGGCTTTGTCATTCTTTGTTATGCATAAAACACATCTGGAAATTTTTCTAATGTTTTTTGAAGTAAACAGTTATTCCACCTTTCTACTAAAATCGTAAATATTAAGTCTGAATCTCTGCTTAAGTTAAACAACAACAACAATTAAAGATTTCAAAGCTTTTTTGACACTTTTTAAAATTGCGAAAAAAGTGGTGGAAAATATGTATTTTTATCTGTTTCTATATCTAAATCTAGATCTGGATCTAGATCAACTGTTCACAAGAATTTTGAAGGATTATTGTTAAAATTAAAGCAAGGGATTTTAATTAAATAACAAAAACAAACAAATATTTTATCACGAGGGCCATATATTGTAGTATTTCTACTGAAAAGTTTATTAAATAAAAGCATCAACTTTGGGGGCTACAATTAACACATAGCAAGAAAAATATAAACAAATAAAAATCTATATATACTTCGTAATCCAAACAAGCTTTTAAATTTCTAAAAAAAATGTGAAAAAAGTACTTTTAAAAAGTGCTACAGTTCAAAAAACCCACTTTGCAGATGGAAGATTGAACACAATCACCATGGACCAACAAGAACGAGATGCGTTCGGTTTCTTCAATTTGAATTCAATCCCATTTTGGTATATGATTCAACAATACTTAAACTAACGGAGTTGTCTTTTAAAATTTATAATTTGAAACGCGTTTGCTGACAAGGTCCTTACTGCTGAATTTGCGTGCCATGGACAAGGTCCGTATACTGTTTACTCCGCGTGCCATGGACAAGGACCGTATACTGTTGAATCTACGTGCCATGGACAAGGACTGTACTGTTGAATCCGCGTGCCATGGACAAAGACCGTACTGTTGAATCCGCGAGCCATGGACAAGGACCGTACTGTTGAATCCACGTGCCATGGACAAAGAACGTACTGTTGAATCCGCGAGCCATGGACAAGGACCGTACTGTTGAATCCGCGAGCCATAGACAAGGACCGTACTGTTGAATCCGCGTGCCTTGGACAAGAACCGTACTGTTGAATCTGCGTGCCATGGACAAGGTCCGTACTGCTGAATCTGCGTGCCATGGACAAGAACCATACTGTTGAATCTGCGTGCCATGGACAAGGACCGTACTGTTGAATCCGCTTGTCATGGACAATGGCCGTACTGTTGAATCTGCGTGCCATGGACAATGACCGTACTGTTGATTCCGCGTGCCATGGACAAGGACCGTACAAATAAATCTGCATGCCATGGACATTGTCTTCAATATTCTAACATGCATATTGTTTTAGAAGAAGTTTGAAGTTTGAAGAATTTATGTTTTATAAAGGATTTCCAGCTACAAGGTTTGGATTGGATCAAATAGGTTGACAACCTATTTAGATTGGATCATTGAATAAGATTAAAGAATATTCTTGATTGAATTCTAAGTTCATGACCCTGTAAATCTAAAATGTTTATAAACTGCGATCATCATTAAATACTCTCTAAAGATTAAATAGTTCCGCAAAGATATTCAGTTAAAATATAAAGAATTCTACTATTCTGTAGTTTAAACAAATCCTATAAAGATGATAAAAAATAGATGCCATGTTACTGGTAAAACTATTTCCATATTAACATTGAAAACATATATCGTCTTCCGATGCCATTGTTATATGGTTCTCACTGTAGTTAAAATTACACCTTAACGCGACATCAGACACAAGTTTCTACGAAAGAAAGCACAGTTAATATTATTTCAGTTATGTGTATTTTTATCTTGTATCTGATAGTGTTAAGTAGTAACGTGAAAGTAGAAAAGTCATCAACAACACTTGTCTTCTATATATAAACGTTGCTTGTCTGTTTGTCTGTTCGTTTGTATCCAATACACGTCAAATCGACAAAACCGATCGGGCCCAAATTTTGTGTGAGACCTCACGTGACCCCAGGGAAGGGTTGAATACGCTCATTATTAGAAGAGTTGTCTCGATCCAAACATTTTTGAGTTTCATAAAATTTTGAAAATTCACGAAAACAAAATTGTAAATTTTTTTATTGTTTCATCAAAGAGAAAATACGGAAAGATTGAGCAAAAATTTTAAATTGAAATAGAGGATATGCGCGAAGCGCCCTGATAGCATAATTAAAAAAATTAAATTTTATTTTTAAACCAGATTTGTTTGTATGTACTTTTGTGTTCATTATTTTATCCCAAAAATTTGTCAAAAGACAGTTATGACATTTATCTCCTAAAGATTCCTGTTTATTGTCTAACTAAATAAATAAATTAGACATTTTCTTTCTTTCTTTATTTTCTTTTCACTTTAACTTTATTAATTTGTTTTGCTTGTATTGAAATTAGGAATATTGTCATTTTTTCTTAACAATCTGTAATCATTATCGTTGCCCAACCCGGCCTAATAATTGCGAAATGTCAAGGATAGGAATCCATTTGGTAACATGGGTTTACAACACCTAAAATCTCCCATTTTGTTCTTTTGAAATAAAATGTTTTATTTGTAAAAACGCGACTATACTTGTTAACATGTAATAAAAAACGAGATAAATACAATTATGATGTTAATTTTAGAATGTTCCGATTTAAATAATGAGAAATTATAGTTATTTAAAAAATTAAAATCAACGCGGCCCGTCCATAATTTTACCAATTCAATTAAAATGAACAGAGTTTGATTAAATAAAGAGGTTTCTAGAATTCATCGTATCTAAACTTTTTATTGAAACATAAGATCAACTTAATCCTATCGTATAAAACTATTTTTACTACATTTGATAAATCAAACAAACAATGTTTGGGCAAAACGGGGGAATATTTGGTAAGTTCTACAAAAAACGTTTAATAAACGTTTTTTTGTTGTTGTAAGCAATTTTGATTTTATAAACAAAAGACAAATTGTGAATATAATGCTCTGATTTTATACTAAAGTGACCAGAAAACTGTAAATGATTGTCGTTTTTCTTTTATTTAACAATTAATATCGTTCAGGATTTAGGAATCTTTACTAGTTACTATCTACTGTATGCGTAGTATTGATGGAAACTTTAATTTTGGTCTCAGGGGAATAGAACCCCTTGTTACCTAAACTCAAAATGTATTAGTTTCAAATTTATTTACGCGAATGCAAAATGAGGTCCATAGGAAGCCCTTACAGAACGATTGATTTAGCTGAAGATCACTATTCTGGGAAGGTTTGAATTAGGACCAGCTGTGTACTATGTGTACTGACTTTAGAGGTCCGATAGAGGATGTTATTGAGGTTGAAGAAGGTTAAATTTGATGAAATATATTCAATCTACTTCCACACATTAGATATACGTAAAATCATATAAATACGTAAAATATGTCTAAATTGGGTTAAATATAACATATGTTATAATTATTTTAAAAGTTTCCATCTTTACTACGAACCCGGCCTTTAGCAAGGTTATTCTGCAAGGAAAGTTAATTGCAGTTGCGTATGCTCTGCATACATATTGTAACCAGTTCTCTCTGGGAGGAATTTGTAAACAAAAATAGATGCATCAGTGTTCGTTTAGTATCCGAAGAGGTTAAAAGCATTAAGTTTCAATAATTTTGATAATTCACATAATAGTTTCTTATGACCAGAATATTTCATTGATTTTTATTGCGAAAGATGGATCCCATGTAAAGCTTCGACGTCCGTCTTGTATTTACATTACCGCCCAGAGACAGTACGCTGCAGTACAAAAGATGCGTTCACCTCTGAAATAACTTTCCTTGCATTAGTACCTTGGCCTTTAGTATCTATTTAAGTCTATGTCAAATACACTGTGAAATCCTTAGCGACGATCATTACACTGTGTTCTGGTTACCACTGTAAGAATGGGTTGATATTGCACTGTGTTCTGGTTACCACTGTAAGAATGGGTTGATATTGATAATACCTCAATATCAGTAGGATTCTGCCCAGCTCGTCTCATAGCAGACTAAAATATGTATCTTCATAAAATAAAAAGATTAAAAAGAAATCGGAAATGGTATTTAGTTGCAGGAAAGGTTTTTTCGCACTTGTAACTGAGTGTTGCCTTTTTTTGCGCTAATCGTAACTGAGAATTAAAACTTTATTTGTTTGTTCTTAAATTAATCATAATAAAGTTTTTTTAATTTCAATTTGGAAAACAAAATCAAATCGTTAGAGTAAAATCTCGTATTTATTTCACGGATACTCTCTTTTTTTAGTTTATCAAATGGAAATTATATTATGTGTATCCTTGCAGAAATCAATAAACCCTGATCAACTATTTTAATCTTTTAATAAATTCTGGTGTCTTAAACCAAACACACTCTCTTTATAAAGATTTCCTGGAGATTAATGTTACTTAATTAATTTAGGAACATTTTGTCTTGTTCCAACAAAGAATTTAAAAATTAAAAAGAGCCTACAGGGTGTCCCGGTAAAAATGGAAATTAAAAGACAACTTGAAAATCGTCTTTGATTTTTGATATTTGATTAAATGACAAAAAGTGTGGCAAAAACGATTATGTGTCTTCTGAGCTCTTCAAAATTTGGTCTGCCTTCCATTATATTATATAAAATTGACGGAGATATCAAACATTATTATTGAATAAAAGGAAATCTGGGCTCATTTCTCGATAACTCCGTCAATTTTCAAGGTAAACCACATTTTGGAATTCTCCAGGCCAGCAGTTTCAGATGTTAATTGTTTTAAATGTGAAACTATTTAAAATATTTTCATATTATAATGCCGCAAGGAACAAAGACGATATTGAAGTCGTCTCTTAATTACCGTGTTTATTGGGACACTCGTACAATCTATAAACAGAAATACAGAGCCAACCTGTTCATGTTGAATTTTCACCCAAGCAAAGAATTTTAAAACAATTTTTCAAATATGTGTCGTGAGAGAAATGTATTCTTAAATATACAGATGGACCCGTAAAACTGTGGAATATTTAGACGACAAAAAAGCAATATTTGATGAATTTTATGTTAAAATATAACAAATAGTTTTTAAAAATCAACTTATTAAGGGAAACTAGTCGATGTACACTGCACAACTGCTATGTCCACAGTTTTATGGATCTAACTGTATGTATAACTGATGAGGTGTAACAACAGAAAGAACGAGACAAATAAACAGAATGTATATATTGAAATCTAAGTTACAACGACAATCTAGCTCCTCCACAGAGAAACCATTTTTTTTTCTTCATGCTTGTCTGTGTGTTAAACATTTTTTCCTTCTTTAAAATAGAATTAAAAAATAAATAAAATATAAAAAAGTTTTGGTCTTATTTCTTCTGAACTCTTTAATATTTGATTCAGATAGTTTTCCAATTTCCTTAATAATTTATGAGTAAACCTTATTTTCCAATCTTTTTAGATTAATCTAACATATTTCCCACACATTAAAACATAGAAAATATGAATGCTTAAAAAAAGAAATGCAAGAAATACTTGGAGAGAGTGCGACGGGCTTCACATATTGTCATATTCCTCTTCTTCCATTTTGGTATAATTCTAAAATTAGATCAGTAAATATCTTTTTTGCAAAAATAAGCCCATTCTTGGAGGTAGCAAGAACACCGACTTTTGAATAAATAAAAAGGTAGAAGTAAAAAATAAAAAAAACTCGATTTTTCATTTATCTTTTTAGTAAACCAAAGGTTGTATGCTCTCATACAAAACTACAGAAACATTTGGCACATTAATCATTTAAAACTTAAACCAGAAACAATAGTTGCAACTTTTCATAACAGCTTGTTAATATTTAACCTAGCTGTAATGAGGTGTAGGATATCTTTTGAGTGTATTCAACCTGTAATGAGGTGTAGGATATCTTTTGAGTGTATTCAACCTGTATTGAGGTGTAGGATATCTATTCAACCTGTAATGAGGTGTAGGATATCTATTCAACCTGTATTGAGGTGTAGGATATCTATTCAACCCGTAATGCGGTGTAGGATATCTATTCAACTTATATTGAGGTGTAGGATATCTATTGAACCTGTAATGAGGTGTAGGATATCTATTCAACCTGTAATGAGGTGTAGAATATCTATTCAACCTGTAATGAGGTGTAGGATATCTGTTCAACCTGTAATGAGGTGTAGAATATCTATTGAGTGTATTAAACCTGTAATGATGTGTAGGATATCTATTCAACCTGTAATGAGCTGTAGGATATCTATTCAACCTGTAATGATGTGTAGGATATCTATTCAACCTGTAATGAGGTGTAGGATATCTATTCAACCTGTAATGAGGTGTAGGATATTTATTCAACCTGTAATGAGGTGTAGGATATCTATTCAACCTGTAATGAGCTGTAGGATATCTATTCAACCTGTAATGAGCTGTAGGATATCTATTCAACCTGTAATGAGCTGTAGGATATTTTTCCACTATGATTCCAATCGAAGGCATCAAATGCTCCTTTATAGGCCTGAAACAATATATTTCTAACTGTAGAATTTTTCCAAAGTTTTGATTTGATATTTGAAGGAAATTTTTTGTAGCTTTATTATTTTCATGATCATAAAGCTTTTTTATTCAAATTAGTTTTTTCTTCATTATCATCATGGTTTTAAACCAATATTAATATTACTAACCTCCAAATCTTCCTTAGGAATCTTCAATTGTGAACTAAAGTATAATTATATCTATAGAAACTATAGACTATAAAATGTAAGAAATATCCATTAGTGAAATATAGGATTAACAACAGAATTTACATATTTAAAAAAATTACCCTGGGGAGGGATGGATGTCACGCCGTGGTAATTTTTCATTCATTTCTGGAAATTTAAAAAGGTTTTGTCAGAGTAAATTTCATTACATGAATAGAAAAATACAATGAACTTTTTGTACATAATTTGCTTTAAAAATTCAGGGTTTTTCAAATACATATGATGCGAATTGAAGGCCTGTCGACATAAACAAATGATGAGAATTGAAGGGCTGTCGACATAAACAAATGATGTGAATTGAAGGCCTGTCGACATAAACAAATGATGTGAATTGAAGGCCTGTCGACATAAACAAATGATGAGAATTGAAGGCCTGTCGACCCTAAATTTAATGAGTTCCTTGCAGAATTTACAAGGCTGCCCATCACACCTTTGTCTGAGAAAATTATGAGGATATCCACCATTTGATTAATTGAATTCTTGTTTGCATATTTATGAAGCAGAAACAAAGAAGGAAATCAACTGAATTCAACAAATTCTCAGATAGAAAAACGAGGATATTTTCCTCATTGTTGCTCAGATGAAGTTGTACAAGGTACTGTTGTGAATTATGCATCCATGCAATTCTTTGACTGTTGCATAAAAAATCTGCAAGGTGAATAGGGTAGAGAAAATTTAAATGGCCGGTCATCGTTATAAAAATGTCTAAATTATCACATAACTTCATCTAAAATTTACATTTCGGAAAAGACATTAAAAAATAAATATGAAAACACGAATCACGTCATTTTTGCCAAAACTAATTCTTTTATTCCCACATTTTTCAGATTTTTTTTTGGCAATTTTTTATAAACCCTATCATTTACTTTTGTTAGAGGTCGAATAACTTGTTTATGAGATTGATTTGATAAATATTTATATGCTGCATGGATTAAGCCTCCGTGCCTTTACTCCATTCTCTCCACTGTACATAGATCTTGATCCCAGCCTTTTCAGGGTAAACAGGTTTGCACTAAAGGATTGTGTATTCAAGGTATCAGTTGAACAAATAAAGGTGGATGAATATGAAAAATGGATAAGTATGAAAAAGTGGATGAGTATGAAAAGGCGGATGAGTATGAAAAGGTGGATGAGTATGAAAAGGTAAATGAGTATGAAAAAGTGGATGAGTATGAAAAGGTGGATGAGTATGAAAAGGTGGATTAGTATAAAAAGTGGATAAGTATGAAAAGGTAGATGAGTATGAAAAAGTGTATGAGTATGAAAAGGTGGAGGAGTATGAAAAGGTGGATGAGTATGAAAAGGTGGATGAGTATGAAAAAGTGGATGAGTATGAAAAGGTGGATGAGTATGAAGAGGTGGATGAGTATGAAAAAGTGGATGAGTATGAAAAGGTAAATGAGTATGAAAAAGTGGATGAGTATGAAAAGGTGGATGAGTATGAAAAGGTGGATGAGTATAAAAAGTGGATAAGTATGAAAAGGTGGATGAGTATGAAAAAGTGGATGAGTATGAAAAGGTGGATGAGTATGAAAAGGTAAATGAGTATGAAAAAGTGGATGAGTATGAAAAAGTGGATGAGTATGAAAAAGTGGATGAGTATGAAAAGGTGGATGAGTATGAAAAGATGGATGAGTATGAAAAATTGGATGAGTATGAAAAGATCGATGAATGGGAAAAGTAAAGAAGAAGAAATAGAATTGAGGAAATATTTTCTCTTTATTCAATACACAACACACACACCTGGACACTTTTATCAATTCCTTGACACAAATCAAATATGTTTATGATTACAAAATTCAAAATATTTTTATTCGCAAACATTCTTCTGCAAATATTTCTGCCAAATATAGACCTTTAGACTCTTATTTGATGTTTATTTGTTGATAAACAAACAGTATTCCTTGAGTCCTGAAGTGGATTAGAATGTTTGAAAACAACAAATTAAACATTTTGACTAATGTATTAACAGGCTGTAAAAGCAAAATTGCATCGTATTGTGAATTGTCCAGTTATTATACACAATAAAAACAATAGGAGAACAAGTCTCATTTGAAATCGGATTATCAAGATTGAAACCATTTTTCATACTTCATAATATTTCCGATTTAATAAGTAAAGATATCGAGTCTTTGCCGCAAACTCAAATTTTCTAATCCTTATATCTTTGCACCCAGATGGGGTAAACTTCTCACATTACATGACGTTACACTTTACTTTATCTAACAAAATTCATGATTGGGTTGCAAAGATATAGGGATTAAATAATCAGTGTTTGTGGTATATCAAATCCTTTGGTAAAAAATTTAATTTTTAATTTTCTTTTTGTTTGTCTGTATTTCATTCTGTCTTTACAGCTCACAGGCAGCCGTACTACATTTGAATTTCCGAGCTGGGTCAACCTTTCCGTTCCCAGGTTGAATTTACTTTAAGTAAACGGTTAGAGGTGCGTGAGCTAGATAGGACGTAACAAACAATATTTTTAAAACCTGTTTACAGGAAGAAACTGTAACATTTTATAATGTTCGTGGGTATTTAGACCTAAATGATTATAATCTCGAAATATTTTTGGAATATTTAAAGCTATTGAGAACAAATTCTTTCTTTTGATAGTTTATGTTGTGTTGATTTTTGATCAAGGATTGATAGTTTATGATGTGTTGATGTTTGATCAAGGATTAATAGTTTATGTTGTGTTGATGTTTGATCAAGGATTGTAGTTTATGTTGTGTTGATGTTTGATCAAGGATTGATAGTTTAGGTTGTGTTGATGTTTGATCAAGGATTGACAGGGTTGTGTTGATGTTTGATCAAGGATTGACGGTGAACTACGTATTCTCTTTCTTCTCTTTATACCAGCAACAGGAGGCCGGATACACACAAATCTTACCGGACAAGGATTGGCGGAGATTCAACCATATTCACGGAGATTGAGAAATATTCATGGAGAAGATATTTAAGGAGATTAAAGAACTAGTAGATTAATGGAGGTTTGAGGGTAATTACGTAAAAATCATGGAGCTCTAATGATTATTCATTTAAGCAAGAATATAAGAAAAAATGTAAGTTCTTTTTAACAATTTTTTTGAATTTTTTTTAAAAAGGTTGTTAAAAAAGATAAACAAAATTATTTTAAAAGTATTACAGTATTCCTATTTTTCCCACTTTAGGATTCTTGGGGCCCCTAGACACTCCCCCTGGGGGGGGGGGGAGGAGGGGGAAAGTTCAATTCGTAGAGATATCTGGAAATTTGAGGAAAGGAATTAAGTCTTTGCCTCAAACTTCAACTTTCGAACTCCTATATTTGTGCAATCTGATGATGTAAACCATTAATATTTTAAACTCAGATATCTCAAACTATCAAATAATGTAAGGTCTACGACATTGGGTTGCACAGATAAAGGGATTAGGAAATCAGAGTTTGCAGATCTGTTGGTCTCACTCATGTATTTAATATTGCAAAGACGACCTGTTGCAGTCAATACTTTTATCATCCTAAATAGGATACTCTGCTTAAGAGAAAAAATTAGAACTCAACAATTCGTAATACGATAAATTTTTCTCAAATAATTGAAGCCTCGTGTAAATATAAATATCTTTTTGAAACCTCATTTAATTTGTTGCAATCAACGAGGTTATCCATTGTAAAATTTGACTTGGGTTGGATTAAAGACGTAAAATAATTGTAAATTTCACTTGTTTGTGAACTATATACTGATATCATTTATTCAATCCATATACAACTTTTGGTAGAACACGTGAGAGGTAGATATACTCTTTCAGAGGTCACCTTCAACCTGGCTAGTTTCTAATATTGTTACAATGCTTTACTCAATCTTTCAGTAAATCCTTAAAAGTTTTAAATAAAATGAGGTAAGTAACATTGGTCTATTTCTTAATGCATCTACTCAACAATCGAACCCAGGAATCAGGGATTGATAGTTTAGGTTATGTTGATGTTTGATCAAGGATTGACAGGGTTGTGTTGATGTTTGATCAAGGATTGATAGTTTAGGTTGTGTTGATGTTTGATCAAGGATTGACAGTTTCAGTAAATCCTTAAAAGTTTTAAATAAAATGAGGTAAGTAACATTGGTCTATTTCTTAATGCATCTACTCAACAATCGAACCCAGGAATCAGGACCCTGAATATAATGGAAACCAGGACACTGAATATAATAGAAACCAGGACACTGAATATAATAGAAACCAGGACACTGAATATAATGGAAACCAGGAACCTGAATATAATAGAAATCAGGACCCTTGATATAATAGAAACCAGGACCCTGGATATAATGGAACCCAGGAATCAGGATCCTGAATAAAATGGAAACCAGGACCCTGAATATAATAGAAACCAGGACACTGTATATATTGGAAACCAGGACCCTGAATATAATGGAAACTAGGACAGCAGTATCAACTCCACTAGCCAGAGATAATGTTGAATGATTGTTTTCTGTAAAATCTAAACATAATTTTAAATATATTCATGTTTACAATCACATAGATTTTAGTTATTCAAATCTTCAGCTTTTTAATATACTGACAAGTAAGATATGTGGCATCGAGAACACTAAGCTACTTTGCTGTTACTTTAGTGTTAAAATTCTAATCATATTTCAGAATGATGTAGAGTGGAAAAATAACATTATCTTGTCATGTCAACTGAGAAACGTGTTTTCAAGCCTTTAATTAAAATTCTAATCATATTTCAGAATGATGTAGAGTGGAAAAATAACATTATCTTGTCATGTCAACTCAGAAACGTGTTTTCAAGCCTTTAATTAAAATTCTAATCATATTTCAGAATGATGTAGAGTGGAAAAATAACATTATCTTGTCATGTCAACTCAGAAACGTGTTTTCAAGCCTTTAATTAAGATTTTAATACTTAACTGCTCAGCTTCTCAGTAAATAGTCATCTCTGAACAATTTAATTTCAATTTTTGATAAATCGAATTTGTCTGGAAAAGTTTTGTTATTTAGATCTGTCAAACATTTATACAGGGTTACCCACAAAGAAAAAGACGTTACTGACTGCCTAATATTCCTTAGATTTGAAGAATGAAAAAAGGATTTGGAAAAGACATATGAAAGTATATGAATGTGTAAGATAAGCGCAGATGCCTTAGAAGAAATCTTCACTTTGATGAAGATATGCAACTGTTTCATGGTTTTCTGATATTTTCAATCCAAGCTTCTGAAACCTTTCCTCTGGCAAGTTTTATTTAGATTTCCTTTGTTTACCTGAAAACTTGGCGAGAAAATTCTCAAAACTTAAACAAATTGTTTTTTGTTTCTTTGTTTCTTTACTTTGTTAAACTCGGTTTGAGTATAGTCTTTTAAAAATACACACCTCTCATAATTTCACTGTCTTAGAATTTGGAA